GGATTTGAGGCTGAAGATGCAGGAGTTTATTACTGTCAGCAGCGTTCCAGCTGGCCACTCACACAATGATAAAGACTCGTACAAAAACCTCCTCAAACTGAAATGAAACTGTTCACACTTCACTGAGTTTGACACAGACACTGAGTTCATTATTTAATAATTTTATTTCGTTTTTGATTGTGATTCATGAAAAAAAGAAAGAAAAAAAAAAAAGAAAAGGGTAAATTACTATGACTACTACTACTACTACTACTAATAATAATAGTAATAAATAATAATAATAATAATAATAATAATAAATAATAATAATAATAATAATAAATAATAATCTTTCCAACAAAACTGAGCAGCTGAAAGGCCTAACCCCAGTCAGTTTCACAATAGGAGCTAAATGAACAATCTAAAACGATTATTCATGAGTTGGAAATACTTAAAAATCTATGAAACCTTATTCATACAGCAGTTATACATTAAATTAAAGCTGTATTCCCCAAATGAGACAGAGTCAATTAAAAATGTAAGGATAAAGGAGCAGTCATTGAAGTCAAAGCTTTTCTTTCCACTCTCAAAGCCTGACCTGCCTTTCCCTGAAACAAAGATTTGTCCCATTTCCCTGATGAATATATTCATGGATTTATTCACAACATTCAGGATTTATAAATACACATATGAAGCAAGTGAATGAAAAGCCAACCCTCATAACCTGACCTCAAACCTACATTTATTCCAAACACTAAAGTGTGTGATACTACAATATAATTTTTTATTATAATTTTTTAAATTGTAGTGGTTCCCAAACTTTGCGCCTGCAGATGGATTTATGACACACTTTAAAAACAACACAGGTCGACCGAAGTGCCACAAAACATAACCATGAAAACATAAAAACAACATCTGTATAAAACAGAATGTAAAAAGAAAAAAAAAAAAGACAAATATGGTCAAATGTCCCATGTCAAAGTGAACAAATGTGTTTTAAGAAGAGATTTGTAAAGAGGGAGAGAAGAGTCCTGTCTAATGTGCAGAAGCAGCTCATTCAGTGTTGGTGGTGCCACGACAAAGGCCCCGTCCCCTCTGAGCTTCTGTCTGCTCTTAGACACACTCAGGACGAGCTGCAGCACGAGTGTGAGGATGGAGGAGCTCAGAGAGGTTCAAAGGAACAGCGCCGTTCAAACACTTTCACACTAATACAAGCTGTTTACACTGGATCCTAAAGTGCCCAGGCTCCAGTGAAGAGACCATCAAACCAAACTCATGTGCTCCCATTTTCACATGTGCTTTTCTTCATCTAGGAGTCAATGTGATCTTTCCTTTTTTTTTTTTTCTTTTCCTTTTATAAAATCAACAGTTACAACCAGCAGCCTGTAAGTGACATGGACATGGTTTTATCACATGCCCAGTACTCAGACTGTATATATAAATATTCTTTATACAGTCTATGGCCCAGTATTGGTAACTACACCTAAAGTCTTCATCTGCATGTTTCCAAACGTCTTCTGGTAAGTGTGAATAGAGAATATACAGGTGCAACGTGGACTAGTCGTCACTCTGAGTCTCAGGTGGTTTCAGTGGAAGTGGTTCAGGATCTGATTATTCTCTGACCATCAGTGGATTTGAGGCTGAAGATGCAGGAGTTTTATTACTGTCAGCAGAGTTACAGCTCACTGATCACACAGTGAAAAAGACTCGTACAAAAACCTCCTCAGACTGAACTGAAACTGTTCACACTTCACTGAGTTTGACACAGACGCTGCAGATACTGTGTTCATTATTTAATGATGACTTTACTAATATGATAGTGTGTGATATAAAAGAAAAAAAAGAACCTTTAAAATGTATCTATAACTCCATTCATTCCAAAAAGACTGACCAGCTGGAAGGCCTCACCTCAATGAGTCTCACAATGGGAGATAAATTATTCATTGACTTGAAAATATAAAAAAAAACTATGAAACCTGATTCAAACAGCAGTTACACATCGATCAACAGCCGTATTCCCCGAAAAAGACTGAGGATGAGTATTTTCTTTCAACAAACTGTTCATTTAGTGAATCAAAAATGCTCTTGTGCAGGACTGTTTAATAATGTCAATATTTAAGTATGAGACACAAAAGAAGCAAAAGCACACGCCTGAGGTCCACAGCGAGCAGCACACAAACTGTTGTTCTGATACAACTGCTCCCTGTGACCATATTACACACAACTAACAGCTCTATGGGAGTCATTACAAATACTGACATTTTAAATACAACACTGTTATATGATTACCAGAACTGTACACCTGAAAGGCTCAGCTCTGGTTTCTGATGTGGCCTTTTTAAACACATGCAGCTAAAAGACTTACACAGTGTCATCTCTAATAGGAAGATGAAAGCAGTGGATAAGAACCTGTGTTGTTGAGGTAATTGTTATGGAATTAAAAAGAAAATTCATCCACAAACTAAGATGATGTTTAACCTGAGTCAGTTCAAACTGATACTAAAACTGTATAAGAGCAACAGTTAGTGAATGTGAAGCTGTAACTCCATTCAAAAATGTTAAACTAACAAATAAAACACATGAACGTTTGACTTCAAAACATTTGATTCACATTGTTCTTCCTTCTTTCTGTATTTATTATTTTTATATCTAATCGGGTCATTACAGGTCTGTAGTTTTGTTTTTATGGTTCTGTTTCAGTAAAAATAAACTAGTGAAAGAACATGTGCAGCTCAGCTTTGCTCTGATCTGACACTGAAACATTTTAGGGTCTGGTCAAAAAGGTCAAAGGTCACATGTGTGGTTTTTTCTTGTATTGTCCCTTTAACTTGCAAATGTTCTTGAACTGTCTCAAAGCCAAACACATGAACTCACAGGTACTTTTTTTAGATACTAGAATCAAAACAAAGTGCATGCAGCTGCTTTTAAAAGTGAAATAAACCTGTACACTGCATCTAATGTGGTATCACCATGTTTCAGACCACGTGTGTTTGCACTGCTGATCTAAACCTTGACCACAAACTCACAAATAGAAGCAGAAAATGACCAATAAACATATTAACAGTATTTACATACGGATAAAACATTAAGTCATGACCTTACAGTGTAATATGTTGGCAGATTTTACTGTGTTCGACCTGAAGATTTAATATGTAAATTAAAAGAAGACACGGAGCGTTGCCTTTCACGTCCAGATTGTGTTTGTGGCAAAGAGGAAGTTTTGCCATAAAACCCAACCTGAAGCAACGCCACTGGCATAAATGTTCTGTGTCACCAATACATTTCTAATCCCTTATTAAAAACAGTAGTTACAGTACAGTACTTATTAATGACACGTGAACAGGTTCAAATGTAAACTTAGTATTAATTTACCCAAAATAAAAACATATATTAAATTACTATACCAAATACCAAATTACCAAAAAAAAAAAAATGAAATAACAAAAACCTCTGTGGGATATACTTCAGGTGCACTACACAAGGGATTTAAATTCCTCAACATTTGTTATTTCTTCCCTCCATGTCAGATCTTTACTAGGACCAGACATGAATCACTCAGACAGTTTTGTGAATCATCTAAAGCTGCAGAGAGTGGAAGAGCAGACTCTTGGATACTTTGAGCATCTGTGAAGACGAGACATGTGTTATACATAAAGACATATTGTTCACATTTTGGCAAAGTCTCAGGTNCTACTATATTTAATTTTAGTGATTATACATAGATATGGGTACAGTGCTATATATCAGACAGTAACACATACCAGTGAATAAGAAGCCCTCCCTTCAAAATACATTCGGGGTTACTGTATACTGAAGTGACCTTTGACCTTTGGACCAGACCCTAAAATGGTTCAGTGTGGGATCAGAGCAAAGCTGAGGCCTGAACACAATAGAAACAGTGTCTGTGAGTTTATTCTTGTGAGTCGTGTGTTTAGTTGGATTGTTTGTGATTCAGAGCAGTAAATCCAGAAGAACAAATGAGTCCAGAGCTGCTCTGTTCCAAACACACATTTAACATGACACATGAATCTGATCACACTGGATCAGGAGAGAGGCCAGTCACACTTCACTGTCACATTTACAACATCCAGACTCTGATGAAAATAATCAAATGGATATTTATTTTAATCAAAAATGTCCATGTTTTTTTTTTTTTTTTTTTTTTTTTTTTTTTTTTTTTAATTCATTGCATTAATAGTTTAATTCATCAATGAGTTTGTCAATGCTTAATTTGTAGTAATTTATGAGTTTCTGTTCATTTATTTCTTTCCCTCAGTGAGAGCTACTTTTACAAAACAGAAATGTCACAGAGCTGCTCCTAATGTGATGAATCATATTTGAATTATTTTGCGTCATATTAATTATTCCTAAATCCTTTGGGGAGAAGGAGCTGGAGAGACACTGGCAGCTCCAGAGGCTCAGACTGGACACTCACACTGATAATTGTATTTAAAGGTGCACTGCGTATAGTGGAGGGTTCACCTCCTGCATGTCTCTATGCAAATGTTATTGCTTTGTCTAAAATGTTCCGCAGTATAGACCTACTTAGCAAGAGGGAGACAACAGGTCAGTACTCTACATTACAGTTCAGATCTGTGGAGAAGTGCCCTACTCACAGAATAAAAGTTTGTGTTTTAGAGCAAGAGAAACATTCATAATGAATAAATGCTAGACGGATATGTTTAAAGCCACATGAGGGAACATTCCAGGCAAAACAAATAATGTCTCACCGTGCAACATTAACTAATGATTTATAAATGTGGGTTAATCATAAATGTTTAACTAAGGCATGATGTCAAATGCCAACTAGTAAGAGGTGAATTTTCATTTGTCATTTGCTGTATACATTATACATTAGTACATAAATATCTATATATAGACTTTATATATTTTCCTTTTTGTTACAAAAAGTCTTACTGTATTCTTGTATACTTTTAGTATCACATTAATACTTTGTTGCAGCTGCAGCTCAGTTCAGTTTCACTTCAGTCTGAGGTTTTTGTACGAGTCTTTTTCACTGTGTGAACACTATTTGACTGTTGATGTTGTGAACACTTGTACAGTAATACACAGCAAAGTCTTCAGGCTGAACTCCACTGATGGTCAGAGTCACGGCAGATTTAGATCCACTGCCTGAAAAACGACTGGGGACACCTGAGGCTCGATTAGACGTATCATATATAAGAGCTTTAGGAGGCTCTCCATCTCTCTGTTGGTACCAGTCTAAGTCAGCTGTATAAGCCACAGCTGGACTGACAGTACAGCGTATGTTGACGGTGTCCCCCAGGGCGGCCCTCACTGCTCCAGCCTGACTCACTGTCACCTGTCCTCTGGACTCTGAACACACAAACACAAAGCAACTGATGGTTTAGTCTGGTTGGTCTCAGAGGGACGGATGTGGACAGAGGACAGCAGTGGGACTCTCTGGACTTTACCTGTGAAGCAGCAGCAGAGGACAGTCCACATGAGGACGCACACCAAAGTCATGTTGGTGATGAGGAGGCCGTATGTGGCTTGTGTTGTCATGAAGGACAGCTGCCAGTGCTCCAGAGTGCACCTCTCAGGACTATAAAGTGTCCCACTGGACCATGCAGCTGTTCATGCAAAGTGTTTGTCTATGGAAATGAGGCTCCCACACAGACATGGAGCACACTGAACAGCTGCAGGGGCTGTGTAATTTTATAATTAATAATAATATATAATAATAATAATAATAATAATAATAATAATAATAATAATAACAATAATTATTATTATTATTTTATTATTATTATTATATTATTATATTAATACACTTTTACCATAATTATTTTTATTAATAAAATATTTGTGGATTGTTCCTCTTTCTGAGTAAAAACATTGTCATCTCCTTGTGAACAGTGTTTTTCAGTTTGTGTAAATGTGAGCTGTTTGTCAGTTGTTTATCAGTCTCTGTACAGCTGAATGGTTTTGTGGTGTTCTCTGAGCGGCTGCAGGTTTTTGTACGACCACTCCATGAGTTTGTATCACTGTGGTGGACGTTCGGTGGAGGAACCAGACTGGAGCTCAACTGTAAGTCATCTCTTTATGTTCACTTTAAATATGATACTTTGATTCTGTCTGTTTTTTATCTGTATGTTTCTGAAGTCTGAGTTTATTTGATTTCTTACATTTATGGAGGTTTTGTTCAAATGTCCAAAAGCTTCCTGAGGCCCCAGGCCTTCTTATTATTCCCTCAGAAATGTACAAATTTAAATACTAAAAGTTCTCTTAATCTGTTAGTGTGAAAGTTTTACACAAAACTTTTTTCTGAAGGTTTTGCTTATTAAAATAAAGATTTAAAGAAGTAAATATTTTGTTTCACATTTACCATGATGTTTTTGATGGCAATTTTTTATTTAATATATCATGGCAATTTTTATGCACTTTTTTTTTTTTTTTTTTTATTTATTTATTTTTTTTATTATTTCAGTTTAATAATAATAATAATAATCAAAATATGAAAAAGTGTCAGTTCTTGTTCAAAGTTTGGGGACTTTTCTCAGTTTATCTTTAGTTCTGAAACTTTCCTGCCGTTCAGCTTCAGTGGAGCCTTTCTATCACACTTCCGTTTTCACTCAGTTCAGGCAAAAAATTACATATTTTAAGAAAAGCTATTAATTAAACTTTTTTTCCCTGAATAATATATATATATATATATATATATATATATATAATATATATATATATATATATATATATATATATATAAATGTGTTTCTCATTCCACGTGTAGGTCTCACCCTATAGCTCGGTTCCTCTACCAGAGCCTAGCTTGAGATATATATATATAATATATATATATATATATATATATATATATATATATATATATATATATATATATATATATATATATATATATATATACACACATATCCCGTCAGTGTGTGTGTAAGTGTGTTTGTGTGTGTGTCCACAGTGGGGCGAGTGGAGCCCAGTCTCTGGGTGCTGCCCCCCTCCAGAGAGGAGCTGGCCCAGGGGAAGGCCACCCTCGTGTGCCTGGCCAACAAGGGCTTCCCGTCAGACTGGAGCGTGTCCTGGAAGGTGTCCGGTGGCGGTGCGGGCGGGGAGCAGAGCCGGAGCCCCGCGGTGCCGCAAAAGGACGGCCACTACAGCTGGAGCAGCAGCCTGACGCTCCCCGCACAGCAGTGGAGGGAGGGGGGCGTGGCTGTGAGCTGTGAGGCCAGCCAGGGCTCCCAGAGTCCAGTGTCCCACACACTGAGCACACTGCAGTGTTCCCACCACTGACACAGTCACTGGGATCAGCCTGCAGAGCGCCCTCTGCTGTCAGCTCACGCCTCTACAGCTACAGCTCCACTTCACTTCAATAAAAACAAAGGAAAAAAATAAAAAAAAAAAAAAAAAACTGCACTCAACTCTGTCCACATTTTTTGTCTATTGAAACATCTCAGTTCAAATCTGTTATCATGTTATAAATATGTAGATGATAACTTCACTTCACTTCACTTCAATCTGGAACATTCCCAAATGCGTTGAAAACTGCGGTCATTAAGCCTCTCCTAAAGAAGAGCAGTCTCTTGATGCCACAGTACTGAACAATTTCCGACCCATCTCAAATCTGCCGTTTTTTTGGCAAAGTCCTTGAAAAAGCTGTTTACCAACGCTTACGAACTTTCTCCAAATGAACAACTCCTTTGATGTTTTCCAGTCAGGTTTTAGAGCCCACCACAGCACTGAGACTGCTCTTATCAAGGTGACAAATGACATCCGCTGAACACTGATGCAGGCAAAGTCTCAGCTTGATCCTGTTAGATCTGAGTGCTGCTTTGACACTGTCGATCATGGGATCCTCTTACAGAGACTAGAGGACTGGGTGGGCATCTCTGGTACTGTACTAAACTGGTTCAAGTCCTATCTAGAAGACAGGAAGTATTTTGTTGAAATTGGAAACTGTGTCTCAGATGACATGGCCTGACCTGTGGGGTGCCTCAGGGGTCATCCTGGGCCCCCTGTTGTTCAATCTCTACATGCTGCCATTAGCCAGTTAATTAGCAGCAATAACGTGTCGTACCACAATTATGCAGACGACACTCAGATCTACGTCTCTCTGGCAGCAGGAGACTATGGACCAGTGGAGTCACTTGGTCACTGCATCCAACAGATCAGTGTGTGGATGCAAAACAACATTCTCCAGCTAAACTCTGACAAGACTGAAGTCATAGTGTTTGGTCCACAGAAACAAAGGACAGTGTCAGCAGTCACCTCCAGTCTCTCGCTCTAAAACCTTCAATCAGGCAAGAAATCTAGGGGTAATAATGGACTCAGACTTGAACTTTAACAGTCACATAAAATCAATAACATCTGCAGCCTTTTACCATCTAAAAAACATAGCAAAAATCAAAGGTTTACTGTCTAAATCAGACTTGGAGAAACTTATCCATGCATTTGTCTCCAGTAGGTTAGACTACTGTAATGGTCTGCTCACTGGTCTCTCCAAACGAGCTGTGAGACAGCTGCAGAACATCCAGAATGCTGCAGCTCGGGTCCTTACTCGAACTAGGAAGTACGAGCACATAAGTCCTGTGCTCAGGTCTCTGCACTGGCTCCTGTGCCTCAGAGAATAGACTTTAAAGCAGCTCTGCTTGTGTACAAGTCTCTCCATGGCCGAGCACCCAAAGTACATCTGTGACATGTTAGTGTCATATGAAACCATCTCGCACTCTGAGGACCTCAGGGACCGGCCTCCTGCTGGTGCCCAGAGTCAGAACTAAACAAGGGGAGTCAGCGTTTCAGGTTCATGCAGCTAAAACCTGGAACAGTCTTCCTGAACATGTGAGACAGACTCTTCTGTGACGCTGTTTAAATCCAGACTCAAAACATTTCTGTTTAACTGTGCATATAACTGAAAGGTTTCATTCCTCACTCTTCTCTCCAATTTATGTCTCTCTTTTTAATTTTAATCTTCATGATTATTTATTTTTTTTTTTATTATGATTTTAATGTATTTCTTATTCTGTAAAGCACTTTGAATTACTTTGTGTACGAATTGTGCTATACAAATAAACTTGCCTTGCCTTGCCTTAAAATGTTAAACAAAAACATAATGAATAATAATAAATAACAACTTCCTTTATGTCTTTTGGTTCTCCAGTTTGTGTGCATATAAAGAATACAATAATAATAATAATAACAATAATAATAATAATAATAATAATAATAATAATAATAATAATAATAATAATAATAATAATAATAATGTAGCTTTTTCAGATGCTCAAACTCACTTTACAGTTTGGTGCATTCTTCATTCACTCCTCCCTCTGTGGTGGTGAGATTTTATTGTAGCCACATCTGCCCAGGGACAGACTGATGGATGTCTGTGCCATTTGCCCCTCCCACCACAACCAGCACTCACACACCTCATTATAATAGGCAATGTGGGTGAAGTGTCTTGCTTAAAGACACAACGACAGTCTCCATTAGAGCCCCTGCTGCCAGTGGTGTCCCATCCGAGTCCTGAGCAGCTCTGCTGAGCTTCAGAGATCTGATACAGTTTCCTACAGCAGGGGGCGACATGGTGCTGGTGGAAACAGAAAACAACAGAAAACATTCCTCATGTTTTGAGCACATGTGAGACGTGACCTTCTCTAATAAACATAAACACAGAACAAACTGTGCAACAAAAACACCTTTTAACCCAGTTTTTCCTGAATTTAGGAGAAAAAAATATAATAAATAAATAAATAAATAAATAAATAAATAAAACTCTAGTATTCTAAGTATGCAGACACTGTGACACTGGGCCATGTAACAGTAAGTAAATACATGACAAATATAAAAGGCTACACACACGTGAGCCTGATGAACAGTAGAAATGAACACATCCCACTGCCTATGACAGGGACAAGCTGAACTACACATTTACTAAAGTTCATTTATTTAAGATTTTAAAAAATAAAATAATAAAAAAAAAAACTGTTGAGTATTTTTTTTTTTTTTTTTAGGTTTAAAATTCTACTTGCTGGTTTGCAATCATGACATCATACTAAGAAATTCCATCAAGGTTACGTAACAACCATTTGTTTTATTATTGATATCACACTGATTCAACACTATCCATCTGCCCAGAGCCTCAAATCCTCACATATACAGGGCCACTGCCACCAGCAGGGGGCACCAGGTTTCTTCTTTTTTTTTTTTTTTTTTATAAGTTCATTTCTTGAGTGACACTGACAAACGCTTTTTTTTCTTTTTTTTTTTTTTTTTCTTTTGTTGTTGAGTTCATATTTACTGTGTCTATCAGAATGGTTTCAGTTGTTTCATTTCAGTGATTTGCATTTGTGATGCATTTAAATGAATCCTTTCTCTGGAGTCATAAGACATTTGTAGGCGACTCATAAAAAGAACAGACTGATTTCCCTTTGGATCATATTGTTCTTCTCCATGAAATCTCCAAAAGGTAAATTCACAAATGTTGAGCCTGATCATTTCTCTGAGTGACTAGAGCTGAGAACTTACTGTATGACAACACAAATCTGAACAAAACTCATCACCTTCCTCGCTCTCGCGCTCAGACTTCTCAAACCCATCTTTTTTCTATTATTATTATTATTAATTATATTATTATTATTATTATTATTATTATTATTATTATTATTGTTATTAGGTGTAGAAGTAGTAGTAGTAGTAGTAGTAGTAGTAGTAGTAGTAGTAGTATTGACTTATAGACCTACTTTTTCTTTTTTCTTTCTTTTCTTTTCTTTTTTTTTTTTTTCTTCACAAAATTAACGTTAGTTCTGTATGTGCGTGTAATATTCTAAGTCACCACGAGATGTCAGTGTACGCTCGTATTCTCACGGAGCATCGGCGTTGGCCTGAAGTCACTTTTGTTTTGTCCAGCGCGCGGTGTAACCCACTGTGACGTCACGAGACACACATTAATACGTTAAAATACAAAAACTCAGATTTATAAAGGATTAAAAAAATATATATATTAAAAAAAAGGACAAACTGGTCAGATCTGTGGAGAGGCGTCACACTGCCAATTATATGCATGTTGTTTTGTTTGTTTGTTTGTTTTTGTTTAGTTTTTTTTGTATTTTATTTGTACTTAAAAGACCTGACTGAACACATGTGAGAAAGAAATGTTTTGTGTCATTACATTGGGCATAACATTCCAGGAAAAGATCTCCATGGAAACAACCCGAAAGATTACATAATGCAGCTTTAACTTTAGTTTTAAGTCTATGTTGAGTCCATGCATTTCCTGGTTTGTAGGTCTGAAGGTTTCCAAACTAAACCAGGTTTAAACCAGGACTAAACATAGGACTAAACCAGGTCTAAACCAGGACTAACTAAACTAGGACCAAAAATAGGACTAAACCAGGACTAAACCGAGACCAAACCTAGGACTAAACCAGGATGAAACCAGGACTGAACCAGGACCAAACATAGGACTAAACCAGGACTAAAACAGGATTAAAACAGGACCAAACATAGGACCAAACATAGAACTAAACCAGGACTAAAGCAGGACCAAACATAGGACTAAACCAGGACTAAAACAGGATTAAAAAAGGACCAAACCAGGACTAAACCAGAACCAAACATAGAACTAAACCAGGACTAAAGCAGGACCAAACATAGGACTAAACTAGGACTAAAACAGGATTAAAACAGGACCAAACCAGGACTAAACCTAGACCAAACATAGGACTAAACCAGGACCAAACATAGGACTAAACCAGGACTAAAACAGGATAAAAACACGACCAAACATAGAACTAAACCAGGACCAAACATAGGACTAAACCAGGACTAAAACAGGATTAAAACAGGACCAAACCAGGACTAAACCAGGACTAAACCAGTACCAAACATAGGACTAAACCAGTACCAAACATAGGACTAAACCAAGACCAAACATTGGACTAAAGTAGTAAACCAGCAGGACTAAACCAGGTCTAAGCTCCTTTCCTCGTTACTGTTTATCCACAGCTCATCCTCCCATCCCTGCGCGCGCTTCGGCAACCCGCAGCCTGTAGTACGCACATGACGTCTTCGCTCGTGCACGGTGACGTCGCCCCTGTGTGCGCGTGCCCGGAGGAGCCCGTGCGCGTCCGCCTGGGTGTGTCCGCGTTAAATGTTCAGGTGCCTTCTCAGCTCATTCTGTTTCGACTGGGAACACTTGAACTGCGCCATGGACGTCCCCGCGCTCAGACCTCTGCTTCTGCTCGTCCTCCTCTCCGGTGAGCTCACACTTTTTCCAACAAATACACTTTCTCTCCCCTGCCAACGCTACCCGCTCCAATTAGGGCCAAACAGGGCGACTTTCACGCGTAAAATGTTTCTGGATCAAGCAGCGCGGGCTCGTAAATGAAACGTCTCCTACTTTTTACGCGTTGTCCAACTCCACCTCTCGTTGTTTTCGTTTGCAGATCCTTCTTTAGTGGCAAAAACGTTAAATAGCTGCTCTTAAATTGTTGCATGAGTCCAGTCAGTGCGTGTGGAGTTTGGATACGAAGCAGCGTGTTCATTCATTCTCCTCCCACTTATGTTATATTTGCAAACTGGAATAATTGCTTTTAAATTGTGGCAAATAATTGTGGAAAGTAGGCTACGCGCGTTTTGGACACGTACACGCACCATAAAGTGGTTTTAAATGTTCTTAAGCTTGATTTAAAGTGTCCTCAGTCATTGTTTTCGTGTTTCTCAGGTATAACCGTTTGCCAAGAGGGCATTCTACCGGACGGCCCCGTAGAAGCGCTCGTGGGGAGTGACGTGACGCTAAACACGTTACTGTCCAAGCCCGAGTTCACTTTTATCCTGTGGAACTTTAACGACGGAGAGGAGCAGACCCACATCTCCACGCTGGGAGCGAAAGGCCTGAACACGAACGCGGCGTACACGGGCCGCGTGAACATCAGCACGGACGGACACCTGACGCTCAAGGGGCTCAAGGTGGGGGACAGCGGGGAGTACAGCATCAACGTCGTGGGCCCCACCGGAGCCACGATGACGGCAGAGATAGAGCTGCGCGTGATCG